CCCTATGTTCGCCAACGTCAGAAACTATCCGTTTGGATGGTGGAGGACAAATATATATCTCTATTGAGAAGTCCAGCGTGATGTATACCCTTTTCAATGCAATATCTCTGGCCTTCACTCTATTGACAGTTGTTTTATAATTTGCCTAAGCTAGAGGGATATCTTGGGAAAAAAAGCCACATAGAAACTTGTCTTCCATATTACTCCTCTCGAGGAAGATCACCACTCACGGCAGATAAAAAGCTGCTAAACCGTTTTCATTTTCAACCATTATCATTCTCTTTTGTATTGCCTCAGGAACTATTTATGGAGATGACGAATGTTCTGTGGTGGATAAAGTTGGCGTCAGTGTTTCTGATGAAGAGTTCACAATCGGATGGAGGTAAATTTTACTTCATGATAGTGCCAGCTAAAAATTAGATCCTTTTTATTGACACGCCAGCTTGTTTGTTCTTTTGTGTTGTGTGCATTAACCATGAATATATCCCATGCATGTTTGAATAATATAATATACAATAACAAACGTAGACGATAACGTGGAAGGGAGGGGGGAAGGAAGGGGGTGAGAATTATTATTATAGTTATATAGGATTAATTGGGTTTGTTTTGCATGTAAGCAAACAACTATAGACAAATGGGAATACAAATGCCCTTTTCGCTCTTTACGGTCTCAAAAAGCGGTCCCAAATATATTTTTTTCCGTAGACACGTGTAGCGAACTTTTGGTTTCAAATTCATATCTCATCCTTTTATGTAGACCGTTTGTTCTTTTATTATTTAATGATGAAAAATACTTGTTTGAGCGCGCTTTGACTTTCCAGGCATCATGAATACTTGGAAACACTTTTTCGTAGATATCTGTCAGTTAGTTATCTGCGCTAATTCGAACAATTGTCACTCGGTCACTCAGCTTAGGTGTGTTGCCAGCGTGATACACGCCATACTCGGAAACATCCCTTGATCAGTCAGTTGTGGATAAGATATTCCTTGTTCGATTGATTTAAAATGTAACTCTTTTTGGTGCATTTATTCGGTTATTTGA